ATTGTGCACGTTTGAAGATATAAAACCAGCATGAAACTCCCTTCTGAAAACAGGAATGAAAATATCAGTGGTTGCAGTTCCCTTGTATGATATGAAAATTTTCTCTTCTTCTCTTTCTTTAAAGGACGAGAATCTATGCCAGATCAGGTGGGCTGGGACAAGGTTCTCCCAATTCTCTGATGGCTTTGTGCTGTTCTAGGACATCTGTGTTGCAGGTTATTGTTATTTGTATTTTCCTTTTTAAGAGGAATTCAAATTTCTAGGTTCGGTGGACTGAATTCTGCCATTTTCCTTCTATTAACTAGGGTTTTTTAAATACCCAATACTACTTCCACTGGGTCAGCTTAGGGGAAGTACACTTTGGTGGCTGACTAGCTGTTGTTTTGGTGTTACTCTCCAATGCTAAGGGTGATCTATATGCTGTCCAAGTTTCCTATAAAGTCAAGCTGCTATTGTTTACAAATGTGTGATTTGCTGGTTATTTCTGATTTTATTCACGTTTTTTGCAGACATTATTACTCTGCTAGCCCAGAGTAAATATTTGAGCATGCTAAGATGGAAGAGCTTTTGTGTGCATGACAGTGTTATTGGACAGTTTTATCCCCTTTATCAGGAGAGAATCAAACCTAGGATCTAGCATGTGTACATCTAGCACAGCAGCTGCTCATGAAAAACAATGTGTCAGCAACTGCTTTTTTTTCCACCCAAATTAAAAGCTATTAATGCTAAGGGTAATTTTCGTCTAGACTTTCACTCTCAGCTGTCTACTTATAGTCAGAATTAGCTGCTCAGAAAGATTCACTATTGGGACTGAAATTCCCTTTTCCTCATTGGGTCAGAAATACCATTTGTAATCATTTAGGGAGGAAATAAACCTTTGAGATTACTCACAAGCTATGATTCCTCGTGCAGTGGGAATGCAATGGCCTTCTAGCTAATTCAGGAAGAAAATGCAAAAGTGACAGTCTCTCTTTTATGTATATAAGCAAAAGAAAATTAGTCACATATACAACGTTTTGAGGGCTGCAAGGCTTTCAGTGGCAAGGTAAAATTGTTTGACAGGAAAGAAAAATCCAGTGACACAGGAAGATCTGATGATTTACAGCTGGTGGTTATAGTGTGTCACCTACAGTCTCTGAAGGCAGCTTTCTCCAGGTAAGATGAGCATTTTTTGAACAGTGAAGTATAATTATGAAACATCCAACTCTTGGGTAAGAAAATAGACAAGGAAGATCAATGTAAGAAATCTAGAAATCTAGAGATTTGTAGCTAATGAACTAGACTGCGTACATGTGACTTTCAATTCTTCTAGCAGATTGATTTTACTAGAAAGGAAATACTGCAATGATAAAAATTAATTTAGGTAAGTGGAGTAGTGAGCTCCTTGTGTGCAGTGTAGCTAGCTTTAAGCTGCTTGGATTTGAGGAGATCCAGGATGAGGAGAAAGCTTGAAGAGATAGAGCAGGACAGTGTCAGGGACTGAAACATCTCAAGTCTGCAGACTTGGGGAGTATTTGTTTATTTAAGCATCACCTTTTGGAAATAAATTTGAATAATTCCTTATTTTATCTAATTTATTCAATGATTTTATTTTATCAGTTCTACAAGTCATTGACAGTGAATAAACTTCTGGAATTAGATACAATGGAGAACTACTGTTTGTTTTTTCTCTTTTGTGTTTTATTTTGTTACTAAATTTGCCACTGAACAGTTTTTATGCTTTCTAAATGACTAAGAAAAATAACTAATATGTTCTTAACCCAAGGTTCTCCAGCCATTGCCTATTTCTCATAGAATGAATGTGGCTGATGAGAAATATCCTGATGTGGTCCAAGACAACTGGGAAAAATTAAGAAGTGCTTTTGATAGGAATTCAGATATTTTTAATACTGATGTGTTTCCCTGATTAAAAGTTTTAGGAAGAAATGGTGAGAAATTATCAGCTTTCTTTTAAAACCACAGTCCTACATATCTTTTGTTGATATGTATTTTCTGAGAAAGGTTAACAGTGAAAATGTTGCCATCCTTGGTTTGTATGCTTAAGGAGTTTGGAGTGTGGCTTTTAAAGTCAGCAAGAATCCTGGAAATCTCGTGTTCAGATTTCAGAGTCTGGAGCCCTGAATATGCAGCGTTTGCTCCTCCAGCCTCACTGTGCCCTGGGCTGCAAAGACAGGCTGTTAAGAAGGATACTTGTGGGATCAACTTGGTGGAGAATCCAAGATGTTTTTCCAATTATGCCAAATCCTGAAACTCATCCTGCCAATTTTCTGCAAGAATATTATGTAAAATATTTCTGTGGGTGGCCTGTTTCTGGAGAAACTAAGAGAAGAAAAGTATTATTTAAAGACTTATACTAAAATAACTCTAGGAGAATTTGCTTGTGGTTATTTTCAAGTTCTCTTTCCTTTTGAAGGAAGGGAGTGATGTTGTTTATGTAGAGTTACCTGTGTGAGTGGTACTTAGCAAGCAAGGCAGCATTTCTGTCACAGGGTGTTTAAGTCCTATGAGTTAACCCATGCTGTTACAGAGTGGAAATGGTGTGGAACTTTAGGAGCTCACATTTTCTCTAGAAAAGCACAATCCCTCTCTCCTGGGGGGGCACACCTTCTCCTTGTAAGTGAGGAATGGGCTGGCCAGGGTGGAGGAATGAAAAGGGGCTGTGACTTGTTCTACCTGTCTCCTTTCTTCACTGCAAACCTCTACCACAAGGGATGTACCTGTGGGTCTGCACAGAGGAGGAAGGCACAGCCCTCAGCTGGAGTAGCACTGCCCAACCAGTGAGCATTGAGAGCAGCGCTAGGGAAAGTGCAGATTTACAGATAAGGGGCCTTTAGCCCTTTGTTAGTGGTCTAATTAAGCTCTAACCAAATGAAGGCCTTTGAACCTGCCACATTTCTCTTATATGAACAGGATAGGAGAAGGAGGGATGATCCTTGATCTTGGATATAATGGGCTAATAATGTACAGAGAAGGGTGCAAGACCTACAACATTACAAAGTTCACCTGAGCCATTCTGTGGAGTAGAGCCTTATTGATATTAAAAGCAAATCAAACATGCTCTAGCTCATTTTGATTTTCGGTATCTAGTTATCTAATATTTGAGGAACAGTATCATATTACCATCATAAGCTTCATTAATCTGCTATAGATTAATGTAGATCTGAGCATCATAGATGAAACAGCAGAATGATTAGACAAGACATTAAAAAACAAAGCAGAAATAAAGCATGGATTAGAAACACAGATGGCCCTTTATTGATGAAACAATGAGAAAAAAATTTGATTACATGTAGTTCCACTAACCACCAAGATTTTTGCTGAACTTTAGCAAACTCTAACTTACCTGCTAGGATCTTTGCATGTATCAGCAGTACTCACCGATACTGGGTAAAGGACAATCAGCTGATACTTATTTAGGCTTTCAAAAATCTTTGGAAAAGTAGTAGCAGAAAAAATGCTGCTGTTTGTTATGGTTTGGCCTAAGACAAAAACCAACCAATCAACCAAACAAACAAACCCCCAGTGTTAAATATACCCATCAAAGAGCTGGAAAAAGGGAAGAAAATATGACAAAACTTACAGGAACACAGTAGTTTTGGCTCTTCAGTGATGAAGGAATACTGGTATCCTTCAAAGCCATGAGCAGGCCTGAGATGATGTAAAGAAGGAGAAAACATTTCAGTTCTTCTAAAAATGTGTGCTATGTTGCCAACAGACTCTCCAACACTGATATCAGGCCAAATTCACCATCCCAAGCACACTCTTGTTTCAGAAGTTGGCGATAGCAGCATCATACCAGAATCAGATACCAGAGAGTGATAACTCTGAAATAGTAACATACTTAAAGTTCTTATGACATGTGAAGATTTGGGAGGTGTGTGTGAGAAGAGTGTTGTATGCTCCTGAGCCAGCACTCTGTTCAGACAGAAGGATTTGTTAGCTGGCATCCTTTCCATGCTTGAAGATAGGCACTCCTCCAAGGACCATGGAGGTGCCTTAACCTCCAACAGCTGTTTGTCTTTTGGGGTCTGGCAGAAGGCCTTTTCTTAAAACAGATATGAAAATAATAAAAATCCACACAGTGTGGGTTTCCCCCCCCCATCACATTCCATTCTCTGACATACTTCAGCTTCAGGATTAAATAAAAGGGAATTACATCATTGTGTGGATACAAAGCAAAGGACACTGATGGCACTGCTTACAGACATGTTGCTTACACTCACATTGCTTGAAGTGTTGATGTTCTCCAGCTGGTCTGATTATGGCTTTTTGCAGAATCCTGCCACAAGGACACAGTTTTCACTTTGCCCTGGCACAGAACTAAAACCTGGGACTATAACCTTAAGAATCTCAATAACTCAGCTGATGAGATGGAGTAAGTGAAATGCATCTCTCAATGCTAAAAAAAAAGAAAAAAAAATTTAAAAGGATGGAAGAAAGTTCCATTTATTACGAGTTTGTGTTTTGCGTCACAAAAATGAGATTGTGGCATTTTTGCTCTTGACAGGAAGCAGAAGAAAGGTTCAGCTTGCTCCTGCTAACCTCTAGTAACAACTGACATTTCCATTTTCAGTATCATGGCTCTGAGGCCCTACCTTTGTTCTCTTAGCTCTCACTCGTGTTTTTGTTGGTTTTGTGTGTTTCTCCAGTTTCTCTGCCCTTGTTTGGTGTCTCCCTGAGCTGTGGTACTTCCACTAGAGGTCGACTGCAACACACGCTTGCCCGGGACCTTGCCAGCCTCCACAGATCAGGGGACACCAGCAGGAAAACTCATTTTTTTCTGTCATCTAAAACGTGAAACCAACTGAAAATCTCCACCGTGTGTCCAGGGTCCAGAAGAGATGCGTAACTGTTTAACAGAAATAGCACACTGCTTTTAAATGCATGGCTTGCCTTACAAACTGCACCTTGTATGAGTGCAGGTGGTCAGCTGAAAAGGACGGTTTGGTTGCATAAACTGGTCTGTAAACCTTTCCTCAAATTAACATTTGAGTAGTTCAGCTGAACTCACTGAGCTATCAGAGATAAGCACAGGCAGACTTGTTTACACAACTAGGCAATGATGTACCTTACCTTTACTGTAGGCTGGCAGTGGCTTCTTAATTTTTGAACAGGATTTTCAAAGTAAATCCTCTAGGCTAATGTTACTCCTAACAAAGCTAGTGATAAGAGATCTGCTATTGACTTTGGTTGAAGGACAGTGGTTTAGAAAACACTGGTCTTCTTTTTGGAGTCACTAGAATTAACAGCAGGGACTTTCATTGTCTCTGCTAGAAAAGATGGAAAACACAGGACCAGAATGTCTCCTTCAGTCCTTTACCACTCCTTTTTTTTTTTTTTCTCATAATATGCAGTATTACTTTGCTCTATGATTTCATATCAATCGTAGGAAATTTATAACAGTACCATCTCCTTTTGTGTTTTAGGTTCTCCAAAACTTTAGAAGCATCTTCTGCAAACAGCTGACAATGAGAACTTTTCCACTTTATGATGCAGAGGTTTTTCAGTCAGAGAACTGGGGCACTCTAGATCCAGCCAGGGCTTTGAAAAAGAGAGACAACTGGATCCCTTACTTAAAGGTAATTATGAGGAACTTCCCTCTTTAAGTTATTGTTAGTCCTAACCAGTCTTCAGGATGTACCAAGATACATTTCAGTGATTAAAATCTAAAATGTTCCTTCTGACAAACAGAGTGAATATTTTTTTAATAATCCAGGCCTTATCAAACTACAATATTTCTGTATAGTCAAGAGCCTCTATTCATATCTGTTGAAAATACAAAATGCATGTGTTGCATTTTCTTTATTAAATATTGCCTCCTGTATCAAAAACATGTAGCAGTATTCATAAGGTTTTTTGTTACTTTTATGACAACCAAGTTAAGCCTAAAGTAGATCCCTGGAAACAAAAGCTTTTGATGAAATTGAAACAATGGAAGAAAGGAACTAAGCTGATGGACCTTCCTTCAAAATCTCTAGAGTTAACATGACTTAAAGTGATTTAATTTAAAGTTATTTTAATTTATTTATTGGGCTCTTCCAGGGAAATTGAAATCTAGAGAAAAGTTACCTCAGGTTTATTTATCATGTATTTACGCCTGAATTCATTAAAGACCCATTACTAAGGTGCTGTAGAGATATTTTCCCCTGTCTTTCTCAGTTCAACAGTTTCAAAAGGCAGCTTGCACACTTCCATATATATTCAAAAGCTCTGAAGTTCACCTAAGTCAGGTCAAAATCAGCCCTGGCATTTGTTTCGAAGGGATTGTTCAGAACTGCCTTTTTTTTTAAGGTGATCAAGGTTCAGACCTGTGCTCCTAAGATAAAGAGAGAGACTCAAATAGCAAGGTACAAGTTGGTAGGGCACAGTGCACCCCAGGGAGCTGTTACTGAGTGTCTCTATTTTGGTTCTAGCTTCACAGGTTCTCTTGATTACGGTAATATAATGCTGGTTTTGGACATTTTGAGGATGTGCTGCAGGACAGCTCTGTCTAGGTTGCATGCTACCCAGCCTCCTTGGAAAAATGGCAATGCATATTCACAGATCAGGTCTGTTTTGCATCCACATCGAGCTTGAGGCACCTCTTACACCTCACATTCCTTTGTCCTAATTGCATCTTACTCACTGAGTATACCCTACAGGGCTGACCTGCACCTGCCCAGTAAGGTCTGCTCATTCACTCCTACTGCAGATGCATGAAAGAGCTGTGGGTGTGACAGACTGTCAGGTGTGCTGGAGTCTTGCCACTTTTTCCCAGTGAAATTTGAGCAGGTCTGGTACCCTCATCTGTAAAACTGGTATGACAGCAGTGCTCTTCCTCTGAAAGATGACATGAACTAATGCAATTAAGATGGTGAACTTCTACTGTAGGACTGGATCTATATAAATATCATTCAGTAACACTGATCTTGCAGTCAAAGGATAATGGTACTGCCTCTCATCCCCTGGGTGAGCCTGAAGGACTACAAAAAATAAGAGCACCTTGTAGTTCAGCTTTCAATTTTACACAGGAACCAGAAAATAAATAGCTCCTCTGAAGCTGTCAGAAGTCATGCCCCTGTGTGCCCTCTTCTATCAATAGTCACATATCTGACAATTGGAAAGTCTTTGATGTGCTGTCTCTTTCTTTCTTTAGTGCTCTGATGGTGTTGAGTACACCAGAGCAGCCTTAAGCCGTGTCTCAAGCTCATGTGAGCCTGTTTCAGCCCTGAAATGTCACTGAGCATCTTTGTTTTCTCTTCCCAAGGAACCACTACTCCAGTCTTTCCAAATACCTCTGTCTGACTTGAAGATCCCTACTGTCTAGAAAGGGGGTAGTGGGCTTGTCACAGTGTCCCAGATGCTGCTGTGTATGTGTTCAAGTTATGGGCAAGCCTTGATGTGGGATCCCTGCTGGATGGTATCTGTTTAGTAGAGAAGCAGTAATGGATCAGAAATCATTGACTCCCAACCAGTAAGAAAGTGAATTAAGGAAATACTTGGGAAATCAATGGAAAAATAATTCCCATAGAGTTTGATATTTAATTTACATTTTTATTAAAGGCTACTTACCCCCCTGCACCCTCCTTTTTAATTTTTTTCCTCCCGTGTGAAGCAAGGAGGTTATCATCGAAACAGGTGATGAAGAGTCCTATAAAACTCCTGTTCTTAGTACCTTTAGAATTCCTATCAAGGCTTTGCTAGAATTCCTGTCAACAAAATTTTACTGATGCTAATAATTGCTAAAACATGACTATTTTTTCAAATTATACTTCCGATGGAAGTGGCAATTAAGAAAACTCCTGCGAGATTACATGTGTTTTTTAAAAATTACTTTTGTACTACTACTAATAATAATAATTTTATTTAACCTGGGATTTGGCAGTACTCTGTATATATTTAGTCTCCCTGGTTTCTGTCTAACATTTATTATTACTTTTGTGGGTCTCACAAAGCATTTGAGAGAGAACTCATCTTGCATTCCGAAAGTCAGAAAGTGGATGTGTAGATTTTACAGCTGAGGTCGGCTTTACAATATTTTAAATAATTTAATGGATTTTATTTTGATGATACTCTTAGAAAGATTAGACAATTATGGTCTTTTATTTTTAAATTTATTTAGCAGTGAGATAAGTTTTCTTTTATGATCTCTGTTTTCAGACCTTTTCGCCATGCCAAATACTTCACAAAGAAACTGTTCTTTCAAAGCTTGCCACAGCAGGTAATTTTTCTAGAATGCTTGGGTGCAAACCATCATCACCACTAGCAGAAGTAAAATGGCCTTGCAGCTCACTGATAAAATGAAAAAAAAAAGATCATTCTTCTTGGTTTTTTCCATAGTGACTTCTCACCAAATACAATATGTTTGATTTTGATTACCACTCATTAAGGGTGAGGGGTAACAGGAAAGGAGAGAGGTAGTCCCTCCTCTATGTAAATCTCAGGAAAAAAACCTATTTTCATATTCTTTCTTATCTGGTGTATTTCCTCCTTATGTTATAACAGGCAAGTCCATTTCTAAATTTTCACCTTGCAGAGGGGGCAGCAGAGAACTCTCCCAAATCCAGGAGAAGCAGTAAGGAGCAGTGCTGCAGAGGCTAGATGCTCTGAATTGACCTTGACTCACTGCAGGATGGGGTCTGGCATGCTGCCTCATTGGCCTTGTGAATCTTTTGTCTGTATTTGATATGATCTGAAACAAGGTCTTGGACAGAGAGAGAGAGGGATGGAGGATCTCCAGGAACACAAGGTGTTTGAAACAAATCCTGTGAGGTCAAGTTCTACTGCTTCTTTTCATGACTCTGGACAGCAGAGCTATGATCATGTCTGGGAGGAGATCTGTGCCTGAACTGAGCCCCACCAGGTACTTAGAAGGGTAGAAATTATAAATAATTGCCAATGAACACATCTAGCAGGCGTTTGTCAGTTCTGATAGAGGGTTTCTCTAATAGATTTCTGTTTGGATACCAACCTTCCTCTTTTTCAGAATTCAATCTCCTGCTAGTGCTGGTAAGCAGGAACTGCCCAGCTGCAGTGTGTGGTGGTGTGCCAAAGTTATATGCATAATGTCCTCTCCTCCTTGGTGCTCACCAGCTCCTCTGCAGCCACTGGTCCAGTACAGCACAAGCAGTGTGAGGTTGCACCTATGTAAAAATAACATGTGTGTGTCTGTAGCAGGACTGGGGTGTGGATTTGGCCACAAGAAGTGTGCCCTAGTATTTACTGGAGGGTAATGGTATTAGGGAATGGGTTAGCATGTGTGTATTGAGGAGAGGGGAGGAAGGATGGTGGCGTGCTTTTGTTGCTGGAAGCCACTCGGCAGCTAGTGGACCTGAGAGCAGATGCCTGCTTTGTGCAGAGACAGGTGTGATAGCAAGTTCCTCCTCTCAAGGAGGAAGTGGCATCTGTGGGCATCACCTCACAGAGGCTCAGAAGCTGTGAGAGCACTTCATGTTTTGGAGGAGGGGAAAAAACCCAAATGGCCTCACTGGCAGAGTACTGAATGAGAAGTAGGACCTACTTCTCTGGTATCTGGGGAAGTTGTAGTAACTGTGTGGCGAGCTCTGTGACTAATCCTCTGAATGTGAAGGTATCCCTTTGATGCAGATGGACTTTGATTCCCTGTTTCTTTATTGTCTTTCTGACTCAGAAGTCCTTCAGAGCCACTACTTTGGTAAGTATAAAAGCAGAGAACTGTTACATCCCAGAAGTTTCTGTATCTGCAACCCAATGTTCAGTTTGTCTCACTCTACACATGCCTGCACCAGAGGGCCCTCGTGGCAAGGTAAGAAAGAACTGAAAAATCTTCTTGTTTTGCTCTTGTTTTTTAAAGAGGAAAGGTCTCAGCTACTAGGGCTGGATGCAGCCCTACTATTAATGAGAAGGTCTTGGACCCCCACGCTTGGCCAGGACCAAACAGGTCAGGAATACAGGAGCAGGGGAAAGGGAACAGAGGGAGAGAGAGAGACCATTTAGTCTCCCACCCATTCCCTCTTTCCTGCTGATTAATCTTCCCCAAGCCTGGTGCCAACTCTGTGTTAAAAAATATATCCACATTTCTCTGTAAGGAAAAGCTACCACATACTGAAATTCTTCCTACCTCAGGCTGACCCAGACTAGAAAATATTTGATTACTTAATAAAAAGTTCAGAAAAAAACCCCAAACATTGGGTTGACATGATGATTAATTAAAAAAAAAAAAAAAGAAAGAAAGAAAACAGGATTGCGCTCTTCATCTTCTCTCAAGTCCGCTAAGTCCACAACTGTGTTGGGAAGGAGTACCTGCTTGGGGGCCATGCAAGGAACACGACTGATCTCAATTTTGAAACAGTCTAGTCATCAAGGTTATTGAAAAACTAGACTTAGTTCCTCCACAAAGAAAAAAAAGATGCTGTCCTGGTCTCAGTGTATTTAAAATAAAAGTTTAGCTGCTATTCAAAAATGTACTGTCACTTTTTTCATCATGTCACTCAAGTTTTTTCAAACAGCATTGTCTCTCTTTTTAGACTGGAAATTTTAAGTGAAGAAGCTTCACCGACAGTCCATATACTTATTTTTGTATTTAACAGATATGTACAACTAATGCCATTATTCAGGAAAA